CAATACATACTACACAGAGTTCTACAAAAGCATTGCACAACATCGACTTTCCTCTTGTGATTGCCACATCCTCAATGCACGTGACAGCACACACATTGAGTCATAGGAGGAGCCAAACCTGTCACCCTTAAACTCTTTTTTATATCTAAAACCCTCTTGAGAATGGGACCATAGGGAATTAATCGGCCTTGTTGACAACAAGATCTGTTCACAGCCGGAGATACAGAGAGCTGAGATGTGCAGCTATTAAGATAATAGTATTGTGGTCATAATAATAAAAACTGTTATCTATATAGCACCTTTCAAAGTATACTTGTTACTGTAGTTACAAAGCGCTTTACCATACAAATACACAGACAGCAAGTGAATCAAACAACAGCATTTAAACATGAAGAAGTATAACACTGAAAATAATAAAAACAGAGAATAAGAATACAATTAAAATAAGACAAATACAATCACATAACACGGATACAAGCGGCCGAAGATGGGTTTTTCTCCGCAGGGTGGGCTGGTCGTCTCCCTTAGGGATAAGGTGAGGAAGTTCGGTCATCCGGGAGGGACTCGGAGTTGAGCCGCTCTTCCTTCGCGTCGAAAGGAGCCAGTTGAGGTGGTTCGGGCACCTAGTTAGGATGCCACCTGGGCGCCTCCCTAGGGAAGGTGTTCCAGGCACGTCCAGCTGGGAAGAGACCAAGGGGTAGACCTAGGACCAGGTGGAGGGATTATATCTCTTCGCTGGCCTGGGAGCGCCTTGGGATCCCCCAGTCAGAGCTGGTTGATGTCGCCAGGGAAAGGGAAGTTTGGGCTCTCTGCTGGGACCCGACCACGGATAAGCGGGAAGAAGATGGATGGATGGATGGATGGACAATCACATAAAAGCAATTCTACAAAAGTGACTTTTTGCAGACCTGGTCGTTACAATATAAAGGTAGTTATAAAGGTTTTTGTGCATGTAAACGGTCTGCAAAGGCTAACATAGGGAGTCCAACACCCTTTTAAACATTAAAGCATAGAGACATGTCACAGTAGAGGACAACATACTAATATGAACCTAAAAAAGAGCGGAATTTGTCTTTTTTAAGTATAAATAATGAAGAAGACATAACCTGGCAGCCATGAAAATGTGTGTCTTTGCTTTTTGTATTACTCGTTGTCCCTCTTCTTTCCAGCCAGCACTTCAGGAATAATTAAGTGAGAGCTACTAAGCACATTTTCCTTTTACAGGCCTTCTGGGAGCAACGGCTCCTGTTCACACTTATGTTGAGCATACATCCAAAAATGAGCGCCAAAATGTTTTATGGACACTCTCAAACAAACACACAGATACTCATACCTTGGAAAGATCCTGGAACTTGTCGCTTGTCTTCTTCTTTCTCCACTTCCAGGGTTTGAAAGTTTGTCCTATTGACGACAGCTTGCCATCGCTGCTGCCGGGATGTAGGGGCATTCTGGGTATTTGTGGCGCTGTCAACCACCACGTCACAGCTGGGCCAGGGATGAGGATTTCTCCAACCCCATCAACTGCAAGACACACATGCAGGAATGAAAAACATCAAACATCTGATTTTGATCGTGATACAACACAACCATGCAGTCCAGTTCTCTATATGCCATTCATGTCTTGTGATGCATGGGGATTTAAATACACATGCTATTGTATAAATAAACAACAGTTTGTGCTATTAACAGCTAATGCTTGATTTTAAAATGGTTGGGAACACTATGTCCAGATTACTTTCCAGCAAACAAAGCCTTCTTTTCACTCGTTCATACTGCATAACACTGACTACACACCGTTATTAAATTAAATATGGGAGGAAACCGCAGGGGGTAACTCATGACACACTTCTATCAGGGTATCTTGCACATTGCTATTAGGCACCAATGCGTCTTTTATGTACTAAATGACTTGCCTTACAGGATTTAAGATGTTTAACGAGATAGGATGCAAAATAAGTTTTGTTTTACCGAACATTATTCTTGCTGTGAAATGCTGAAAAAATATGTATGCCACTAACATGTAACAACTGATCAGTCGAGAAGAGCCCTCTTTGGTTTAACAAAACTCAATACTTGCAGAAATATATTCAGTATATTAGTTTTCTTATTTTTTGACAATGTAGCTTCACATTGCTGCATCAATTACTTCTTTCACGGGTTAGGGGGAATATTATTTCTAACTCTGTCTTTATACAGTGTGTGTGTGTGTGTGTGTGTGTGTGTGTGTGTGTGTGTGTGTGTGTGTGTGTGTGTGTGTGTGTGTTGTGTGTGTATTGGCTAGATCCCTGTCCTTCCACAACCTCCTCCTCATCCTGTTGAAAGATTAGAAGTCCTGTGAACCCTCTGGAAGACTGCTGAGTGTGCGCGTGTGTGTGTGTGTGTCTGTCTGTGCGTGTGTGTCTGTCTGTGCGTGTGTGAGTGCATGTGTGCAGAGGAAAGAGAGGTGGTGTGTGATTTCTTCCGGCTTTTTTTTTTTTCAGCTACATAACAGCTGCTGCTGAAACACTCATGTCTCCTGACTGCAGAAACTCCAGCTGGGATAACAGTTTTAAAATATACAAACAAATACTTTTGAGAGCAATTTCTCACAAAATCTTTCTCCCTCAAAAATGTGTTCCCTAAACGATTGTCAAGTTACTGTAGCAGCAAAAACTGAAGTCTAAACCTGTGGCTATGGTCAGTTATCAGTAGATGTGTTTGAGTGTACCGGAACATTACAACACAAATAATAACTTCAAAGTCAAGTCACTTGACCACTGACAGTTTGGTCTAAGATGTGGCATGTTGTATGCTACAAGCTGTTGAAAAAATACTGGAGGTCAGCTATTTTACCCTTGCATGGGTCAATATAGCTTACACTATTCTATATAACTATGGCGATTTTATTTGATGTGTTAAACGTTTTTACTTTTTGAAATTGGGATTATAACTGTGCTTATTTTCTTGATGTTTGTAACTACTTCTGATCACCCTGTCTAAGAAATGTTCCTACCATATGTCATTGACTGGCTCCTTATGTCTGTTATGTTTGTGTTCACATTCATGTTCCAAGATTATTTTTTTTTTTCAAGAGAGTGAGATGGTGGAAGGCATTTCATTCAGCTTCATTCACAGATACACAGAAACAGTGATGTGACTAAATCAGATGTTTGCTGATGATGGGTAAAGATGTAAAGACCAACAGCTCATGACCCTCTCAATAACGGTGGCTAGAAACATAATACAGTTTGGTTGAAAAGTCAACAGTGCAGTTTTTCTGAGTTCTATCTAAGAGGCTTATGCAGCAACATAGTCAGCAGAAAATCAGCTGAAACTCACTTAGCAGTTTGGCCGGATGATCCAGATGTTTAGCACATTTATAAGGAATTATTAGTTGGGCCGCCTTTTGCCAAAAAGGTAAATGAATGATTCCAGTTGAAGTGCAGGAAATAAAATACACCATTTGGAACGTATCTCAGTGTTTCCCATTGTCTTGGAGGGGCGCTGCACCCCGCCACCGGAGCCCCGCGCCCCCCCTGAAATTCAAGGGTGTTAAAAAATATATATTATAATTTTTTTTTTGTATTATTTTTTTAAAAATAATTTTATATATATATATATATATATAGCAACCAAATTGCAAACTAATCTATATCTACTGTCACTTTTCGCATTGAAACATGTGCTCTTTTATTAAATAAACTAAACACTTTCATTTTAAGTTGTGAATTTAGTGTTTTTGACCCTAAGAAACACTGATGCATTAATCAATAACAATAATCCACAGCTCCTCTTCTCTGCTCCAGAGGATTTAAAAAATATATATCCCAATGCCTGCCAGCCCCCCCCCCCCCCCCCCCCCCCCCCCCCCCCCCCCCCCCCGCCCCACAAGCTCAGACAGCACCCCCCCACAGCAGTAAACCCTAGGGGAAACACTGTAATCTGTATTTGTTCTCACATCTGATGGAGCCTTCGGATCAAATAGTAAACAATCAATACTCTGTTGGTTGGCTCTCAGTAGATTTAGCTGGCCATCTGCTGCTCATTAGGACTCCACTGATGGACCTGAGCTGAGAGCTATGATCTGCCTCTGACTGCTGATCAATGTGCTGTTTCAGGTAAGAGCACCCTGAATATATCACATGTAAACATATGGTTTTAAAGCATTCGGTGGTCTGCAGGAGACGTATGTTATTGAGCGTTATAAAGTGGGGCTGTTATATCAAGAGCAATTAGAGCAGTTGTTGGATAAAGCAATTCTTAGTCAACTCATACGATTTTGTCGACATATAGATCAGGCCGAGTGGATTAAATCCACATTTCTCAGGATTCACAAGAGTCATGCACAAGGTCCCCTTTAAGTCTTGTGTTTACTGCAAAGGTTCTCAAAAGTTTCTTGGAAATAAGACTTTCAGAGTGGAAGATCATAAAATATGATTGATCAACTAGAAATTCTAATCAAACAAACACTAAAAACAATCAGTGGACTAATCTACTAAGAAGGAGCAGCCCTAAACCATCGCTAACTGCCACATGTTCATGTTGTCAACGCATTACTGTGAAATCCTGCATTAAATAACAAAAACAAAACAACAGGGCAATTAAAAGCACAACAACCAAGAGTGAAGACATGGAAAAGTGCAGTGCAGAGCCCCAGTACATGCTCTCCCCTGACACCAATTTAATTCTCACACACACACAGTCATTTCCTGTTCCTGTGTTGATATCAAATCGCAACAATAGGAACATTTCAGCAGCTGCTTTGCGCAGCTAATGATGGGAACATCAGTAACAGAGATTATCATCACCATTACGGTAACACTTCTAGTGGGAACCAAATAGGGGCAAAATAACTATTATCATGGACTTTAGACTTTAAATCAAATAGGAAGGGGAGAGAGAAGGAGATAGTGAAAGTAAACAGTCTTTTTATAGGCAGAAAATCCTCTCTATCAACAGACATTGGCCTCATTGCTTTTATTATTAGTAATTATAAGTATTTTAAGCAAAAAAGACAGATGACATGTTTGATTGCCTTTGCTGTTTACAAAAAGGCCCAACTGTATCCTATAGGAATAAATGGATAGGGAAGATTTGTGACTGACACGTGTTACAGGAAGTGGATATTTTCTTAAGCCTACATTCCCAGGAAACTGGATACATTGGCCGAGAGAAAACATTTACTAAATATATATAAATAGGTCCCATTTTGTGTGGTAACACGTTTTTAGCTTTTATGTTCATTTTTCAGACACATTTAAATATATTTAATAAGCAATGGACATCAGAATCACAATATTTAAATACATGTTACTTTTAAAAACTGCATTAGCCACTATCACGACACAGATAGCTTTATAAAAAATACAATAGAGCTTAACCTCAAAGCCTCAGGAAGACAAATTTGAACACTACAGTTTCACTACAGTAAGTCAAATTAAAATTAAACATACTGTAAACCTCAGCGAAGAGGCAACAAGAAAA